CACAAAGAGCACCTGAGGATCTGATCTTTTCACACTCCTCTAAAACTACCAAAACAAAATGTTGGTTTTATATTCATTGTACCATCAAGCTGGATATTGATATTCAATGTGAGCCAGATGCACCAAAAAAAAAAGGAAATCCCATGAAAAATATACACAAACCTTTCATAACAAGTAACATCCCACCACTTTATAACAATGCCATTATAAAAAATAACTAGATAATCTGAAGTTTTATTCATAAATACACAAGCATGTACCTCGCTAAAAATGTGTTCAAAATCATTAAAACCGCACTAGTCCTCACACCAGTCCACTAATACACCACAATATGAGCTGATGGCAATGGGCTCACATAGTCGGGCTTGATGTTTTATGAAATTTGGAGCGGTGCCCATAGCAATCCGAGAAAAGGACGCATATTCCAATATTCGCTCGCCCCTCTGTTCAGTATATGTGTATTGTGCGTGCAGAAAGATTTGAAGTCTCCAAATGGCTTCTTTGTGAGTTTCGGTTCCCTATAAAACATTTTCCCATAAACGGATCAGACGTGTGTTTTTTTTATCCAAGTTACGAGGTTGGCAATAATAAAAGGCTGCGCCGATGGTAATAATACAGCTGCTCTCGTATATTCCTAATGGCCCTTACGTAAACTGTGGCGAAACGTTCCAGGGCTTGTTCAGGCAAGATGTCCGTGATCAAGGGGTTTTCTTCTTCTTTTTTTTTTTTATTACTAGTTTCTCATCTGTTTTTCCTAATGCTGGTACTGGTCATATCTTGTAGTTTTCCCAGATTGGGGAACTAAAATGATTGATTTATCCAAAAATATCTTTAAAAAACAAACTTAACTGTCATATGTATACATTAAAGTGACTTTGATATCACTTTGTTGTATGTCAGTTGTCATTTTTGGCACCATGGGACTTTAAATTGTCTGCTCTTAGTGTTTTATGGAAATGGAGGTCAAGAATTAAGCTGTCGCTTTTAAAAAATATGACCCCCCCCATCCAGGTAATTTTTCAGTGCTGAGATAGTTTCACTGGCAATTGCTCATTCATGCAACACTGTACCCAAATGCATTGTATTCTTTCTTTTTTTTTTGTAGACCGAGCTCTCTTTTATCTCTTACTATATAAAGGAAAAAAGAATGTGTGATTTTTTTTTTATTCCCTTTTTGCTATAAAACATATTAAATAAAAATGCCAGAACAATGTAGACCACCCCCAAAGTTGGATCACTATGGGGCGTGCTTGTATTCTGGCATTTTGGAGTGTATACTGTAAAAAAATGCCAGAATACAAGCACGCCCCATAGTGACCCAGCAGCAGATTTGCTTTGTCTGTTGTATTCAGAGAATGCTTGATGATGTAAATCATTGTTTGTTGCCATGAAAACTTCCTCTTATGTGGTTTTCAGGTCTTTCACACATCTACAGGTGAAACTCGATTAGAATATCGTGCAAAGTTCATTTATTTCACTAATGCAACTTAAAAGGTGAAACTAATATATGAGATAGACTCATTACATGCAAAGCAAGATAATTCAAGCCGTGATTTGTCATAATTGTGATGATTATGGCTTACAGCTCATGAAAACCCCAAGAACCCCAAATCCACAACCTCAAAAAAGTAGATTATTACATGCAATCAATAAAACAAGGATTGTACATAGAACAATATCGGACCTCTGAAAAGTACAAGCATGCATATGTACTCAGTACTTGGTTTGGGCCCCTTTTGCAGCACTTACTGCAATTACTTTTGCACGATATTCTAATTATTCGAGTTTCACCTGTATGTTGTCACAGGTCTGTATCTTTGTGGCCACATTGACCTGGGGTGCACACAGCCATACATGTGCAGTAACCTGACCCCCGAGGGACAGCTAATGCGTGCAGCCACCTGTACAACTCAATGACAGGAAGGACATATGCCTGTCACTGAATGCAGGCTGTCTGCATCTAGGACCATGCATAATAGCATCCAGGGCAGTGCATTCCTACCTGTACAGCTGCGCAATTTCGGGTTGGCGTGTAGCAGCACAAAGCCGCCGTCCTGTCATGGAGTTGTACACGCACCAGCTGTCGCTCTCAGCGCAGGTTTCTGCACAGGAGTGGACACTGCACATCTGTGTGCATCCTAGTGCAGAAGGCCTTCTAAAGCCTTACCATCCCTAAGGGCTAGTTCACACCAGATGCAGTTGTGATGCAGTCCGTTCAGTTTGGCTGCTGCAGCCAAAATACATCACTATGCTTTCCTATGGGATTTCTGGTGCTCTATTCACACCAGTGAAGTCTGTGGCTGGTCTATTTTAGCTGCATCGGATTGCAACACAACGCATCAAAAATGCATGCAAATGCCCTGGAACTCACCTGAAATCTCATTTTAACCCCTTCATGACTGAGCTTGTTTTTAGTTTCTGTTCGTAAATGACTGAAGGTCGCACCAGGCGTATGAACTAGCCCTAAGTGTACATCATCGTAGTTCCACCTATAGTATTAAAGGTGACCTTTGGACCAGCAGGTAAATGCACCTGCCAAAACATTCCAATTCAATACAGCTAGTCTTGTGATCTAGACAGAATGGAAACTTTACATTTTTTCACAGCAGGTGAAGGAAATGTGCACTGAGGGAGTGTTGAAACCACCAAATTAGTATGATAACCAGGCAGCAAGTATGCCATTTTGATGGTTTTAGGTGATGTACAGTGAGGGAGCATAGTCCCCCTAGGACAGGAAGTGTGTTACTGGCAGGTTAAAAAATAAAAAATGAATTCACCACATCCAAGGGCTCATTCATATGGGCATACACAACCCTGTGCAGAGACCTGCTCTCGGGAGGGACGGTGCTGCGTTTTAATTGTATGCAGCCTCCTGTACATCCCTATGGGAGGACGCGGCTGCACTTGTTGCCCGCAGACCCGAACCTGCACATCCATACAGGTCTGGGTGCTTCCACTTGGACGCATACTGCCTGTCTGCAATTACACCCAGGACCTGTCCCTCCCGAAACCAGGTCTCTAAACAGGAGTGCATGCCCTATGGATGTGCACGTCCATGTGAATGAGCCCTATATACTGGTAAGGTGCAATAAACTAAGTTTTAAGCCAGGTTGCCAATGCTGCTGACTTTTGCCTGACTTTTGAGGTTTGCTCTAGTTGTTGCTGATGGAGCTGGCTCCTGGATTAAACAGACTGGCTCCTGAATTCCATATTAATTTGTCCACCCCTAGTTGCATTGTTCTGCAGTACAGGTCTCCTTTAAGACCACAGGATGGTTTGAAAGCTGTCAGGCAGCCATGGTGTGTTCAGTTGTTAAAACACAATAAGAAACGTGATCCTATTCCCAGCATGAAGCTGTTGGATAAAAGTGAGTAGAACCAGTTTGTACAGTGATCCCTCCTTCCTTGTAAGTGGTATATGAGTGAGCTACAGCTCTTTGTTAAATTCCGGAGAAGGATGAGTCACCTGGATGGAAAATCTGGGTGGAGAACAGCCATTTGACTCATTTAGAAGCTCCCTGAGCTGGCTCTGGTGTCCTCCTATCCAGCAATCTCAACAGTTCAGTTCACTGGGTAGATGAAGGCAACAAGTTTAATACAGAGCCCTGTTCAGCTAAAAGCCGAAATGAACCTTTCATGTTTAATACTGTAAAGCAGTAACGATACTTATACAGCACAAAAATAAAGTTTGTCTTGCCAAGTGTTTCAGTCAAGCTTCCCGAGCTGTTAGAGCACCGATTATGGGGCCCTGTGTTTTGAAGGCCTAAACCAGTGTTGCCTCCTTTTCTTCCATCGAAACCCGAACACTCTAGCGACGCACACAAATTTTTTTGGGGGAGAATGAGTCATAGCTTATTTATATGTAAATAGCGCTAACCATTCATATGTAAATAACACAGTTGAGGGCCAATAGCTCCTATCTTAATTGTGGTTGCCCCTGTCTGCCTGACATCTTGTGTCTGGGTTTCAGCTGCCATGAAACCCTTGCACGACATTTAAAACCCGTCGGGTGAATCCTGGACAGGTGGCAACCCTAGCCTGAACAAACATTCAGGACATCTGTTTAATACATGCACACAGCAAAAAATGATTTATTGTACTTTTTTGTTTTGTTTTTGGGGTTTTTTTCCCCCAAGATTTATTAATTGGTTTTTACATTCTATACTTATATTCTATAAATGAGACAAAAGAGATTCCCTATCAATATTGCCTACCTTGCTTCATTATGCCTGGACATGCTGTTTATTTATCCATGTGACCAATGAGACTGCCAGTCTGCAGCTTTCTATATTTTATATTTAAGCCCTTTTATTAACCAAACCAACTTTAACAATAACCAAAGTAATTAACAAAATAATATACAAATACATACTCTTAACGACTGTTTGATCCGAGAAGGGGTCTTAGGGTGCCCAACAGCCCAAAAAAGGCCTGTTCTAAAAACTCCTTCCATGTCCCCCGCCGCACCCCAACCAGCTCAAGGACAGTTACTGGTTCCAAGGGACCAAACCCTCCCCCTGCAATTACTGACGCCAACGGGGGAAGCACCCATACCAGTTGATGGCCCCCCATTTGTGTAACTTGCTCAGAGTTTCAGATCCTCCCCCCCTATCCCGCCAAGCTGCCATGACATAAAAAAGACCTTGCAACCAACAGAAAACCACAAAATTCAGAGAGGGCGGGTGGGACAACCTGCTTCCTCCGTCGCATTTCCAGAAAGAATGCCCCTCAGCCCTTACAGTTCCAACCCATGCGGCTCCTCACGGATATCTGACCCCAACGTCCAATCAGGCAAGATCAGCTAATTCCCATTTTATTTTAAGCCCTTCTCCAGGCACTTTTATAAAGTTCACACAGGTTGAAAACGAAGGAAACTTTTCTTAAGTATTTGTTTTTTTTTGTAGAGAGTGGGGTCATTGTGTCGATCTTATTGTGGCAGGATGTTCTATATTATTTATAAATGAAATACACATCTGACCATTTTCTCTTTACCTTCCACAGTTGGCGGGCACAGCGGTCTTGGCAATAGGACTATGGCTCCGATTCGATAGCCAGACAAAGACCATGTTTGAGGCAGATTCCAGTGCTAGTTCATTTTATACTGGTAAGATCGACTTTTATGTAGTAACGTTTTTTATTAGGTGTTCACCGATACTAGTATCGGTGCCGATACCAAGTATTTGGGCGAGTACTCTCCCAAATGCTCCCGATGCCTATCCTGATACCGGAACTTACGGTATAAGTTCCTGTTCACACCTGGTCATTTTGACGCTTAAAGCTAAGTGCGACAAAACTACACAAGAAATCCCATTCTTTTCTATGGCCCCTGTTCACACCTGAGTTTTGTTGCAAGCTGTAAAACGCCAAACGCTGCATAAGGTGCATGAGCTTTTCGGGCAGATTACAGCACGTTTGGAAGCACATAAACGTGCAACACAAGTGGTTTGCATGTTTATGTGCACGTTTGCTCATTCACAGTAATGCATTTTAAATCTGCTCAATAAAACGTGTGTCTTTGTATATGCGTGTCTAACGCACGTAAACATTAGCAAAACACAAATCGTGTGAGGGAAAGTTTGCACGTAAAAACGTGTGGGAACGCTGACACCTAGGTTACATAGTATTTGAGGTTGAATAAAGACATAAGTCCATCAAGTCCAACCTATAGTGTGTATGTATTTATGTTTGAGCAGGTGTGTGCGTGTGTATTAGTCCATGTGCGATTTTGCTCTTAGGCGTACCTGTACCCCTGTATATTATGGAGTGTCCTAAGAAAGGAGTTCAGAGAATTAGGTGCTAGGCTGAAGGAAAGTACCTCCACGGTGGTATTCTCTGAGATACTGCCGGTGCCAAGAGCCACTCTGGACAGGCAGCGCGAGTTGCGGGAACTTAACAAGTTGCTCCGGAACTAGTGTCGGAATGAGGGCTTTGGTTTCCTGGAGAACTGGGCCGACTTCTCATTCGGTTACCGGCTCTTCAGCCGAGAAGGGCTGCACCTTAATGGGGAAGGGAAAATGGGGGGGGAAATGGTTAGAAGACTGGAGGAGCTTTTAAACTAGATAAATTACCTATTAAACAACCACTCTTGAAAGATAACATAGAAGGAACAAATACAGGATTAGATAGTGGGCTCACTCCAGTCAACAGAGTCAACATAGTCAAAGTAGTAAATCAAGCCAATATAGAGATATAGAGGTGCGAATGGAGACTTGGATATGTGCAAAATATCTGTGTCATGCCAAGTGCATGGTTGGAAATGCTCCTCATTGGCCAGGGTTGCCTTTTTACAGCCTAGTCCTCACCTGAGTACCTTGGCCCATCTTATAGGAATGGGAGAAGAATCGGCCTTGGATGGAAACCCTTGGACACTCCAGGGGATGTAATGGGCAGCCTGTAGTGGGATCCCTTTTATAGGTTCTGAATGCACTAATTGAATCCTCTGCTGCTTATAGTCCACCTAACTATTTTCGCCTTTTCTTACCAGTAGGACACAAGCCATGTTGTATGCTGATGGTAACTTTTAATGTGTTTTTGTTGCAGGGGTCTATATCCTGATTGGTGCAGGGGCTCTCATGATGTTGGTTGGTTTCCTTGGTTGCTGTGGCGCAATTCAGGAGTCGGAGTGCATGCTGGGATTGGTAATAATTTTGTTATACTATAGCTGTGTTACAGAATTTCAGATTCCCATTCTTGTACAAGAGAGATTAAAAAATATGGAAAAAATTAAGATGGCTACCAGCAAATGTTATAGTGGAACCTCAGGCAAAAGTGTTTTGTTTGCCTTGGGTACAGCAAAGCAGGGTTAAAGGGTTAGTTCTCCTTTTAAAATTGCCCATGCATTCGAACACCCCCAGTACATTAAAAAAAAACCCTGCTTAGATTTTGAAAAATAAGCTTCTTTTAATGTTCAAACCTGTACGCTGTAACAGCCTCTCCCAAACTTGTCCTTTTAATGTCATACCTGTAGGCCTGCGCATGGCCTACAGGTATGACATTAAAAGAGGCAGATTTTCAAAATCTAAGCTATGTTTTGTAATGTACTGGCAATGGTAAAATGCTTGTGCAATTGTAATGTAAATGTGAACCAGTTAAAAAGACACCCACAACCTGTGCCGAAATATTAATCCCTCCTCCCCAGTAGAGCAATCCTTAGCTGCCTGTGGCTGTTCCGCTTTTCTGTAAAGACCAAATGCAGCAAAGTAGGACCGCCAGTGCTGCCATGAGGCAACCGCTTGAACTGCTTAGCAGGCATGATTGTCGTTTAGTTACTGCTTGATGCTGGGCAAGAAGGCACCTTGTGTCAGGCAGAGAAGTCCCTTGTTACCACCAGCCTAAGTTTACAGCAAGTAGAGCCTTCCCATCAAACACCATTTATAATTATGGTTGGCACTCGCTTTGTCAGAACTATAGGGCACATTGTAGGCCTTTATATTATTGCAATAAAATATATATATATTTTTTTTTCCTCTACAGTTCTTTGCTTTCTTGTTGATTATTTTTGCCATCGAGATTGCTGCTGGAATTTGGGGTTTCGCCAATAAGGACAAGGTATGCCTGTGAAATTTTTCAATTCATATTCGGGATTTATGTGGAATGTATAAAAATATATGCAAGTTGTTTAATATTGGCTTTCATTTTTGTTATAAGGGTTGCTACATAAGTTGACAGCAGGAGGGACAGTACAGTTGACCACCCCAGCCTACATCTACTCTCCACCAGCCCTTTTGGCCCTTCCAGTATGAAATGTATCTAGTGGTGGTGGTAGTAGTGTGCATTTTTTGTTTTTATTGTGCTCTTTGTTTTTTAGCACTAGCATGTTTTTTTCTTTTTGTTTATTTGTTTTTTATTTTCTCACCTCCCAGATTGTACAAGAATTGCAGAAAATCTATACGGACACATATGAGAAGTACACTTCAACTAAGGAGACATCTTTAAAGGAGACCCTGAAGACCATCCATTTAGCTGTATGACTTTTGTTTTTTATTTGCTACAGATAAACATAAATGAAAGAATACAAATGCTTACGATAAGGCAATAAGGTCTGAGTTGGGCACTGATAATGAGAGACCAGGCGTGGAAAAGTGCTTACAGGAGGTATTTGGGTCACAGTGCTCGATGGTAAAGCGTAACTTGGGCCAAGATTTTTTTTGTATTGGATAAAGCAGAGAAAAGTGCAATTTGTTAGGCGTTAACGTCTCTGACCCCCGAGTGGGCAGAGGTTCCCTCGCTTTCTGTCCATATGAAATGGGACAACATTTTTTTGGGGGGGGCTGGTAGCTGTCACTGCAATAGGAAGATAAGGACAGCAATAAAGACATTGTTTTAACCTGGAGGAGATGGCTTGGGGAGAAGGCAGGTGGCCCCTGGAAGTGATGGGGTGTGCAGAAGTGGGGGAGACCCTGGGAGCGAGATGGGTTGTGGATGAAGCAGACAGGCTTGGAGACGATGGCTTGCGAAGGAAGAACAAGACCCTGGGAAGAAATGGGTTATGGGGTAAGAACAAGACCCTGGGAGGACATGGGCTATAGGGGAAGAACAAGACCCTGGGAGGAAGTGGGGTTATGAAGGAAGAACGTGGCATTGGATGAACACTGAAAGCTAACTACTGTGTTTTTAGAAACTAGGGACCATCCTAAAATCTTCATACTCTTCTAATATTTCTTAAGACTGAGGACAAGTAGATGCATTCACTCATTATAAAGAATGGTTTGTATGGTCTACCTAACATCCATTTCTTCTCTCCCTTTTTATTTGTGTTTTACAGCTGGACTGTTGTGGTATAGTAGGAGGTATTAGTCCTCTGCTTACCGATACTTGCCCTCCCAAGGATGTAGTGGACACCTTAACTACGCCGGTAAGGTACCCTCATTATTATCTTAGCAGCAAGCATTGAATAGTATCTGGGTGGCAGCTGCAGTTTTTACACAAAATATCCAGGGAAAAGTTAAACCTTTTCCATGTAAAGTAAACCTGCCCCAAGTCTAAGCAATGTAAACTGAGCATAAGCAAAGGTTACAATCAGTGAAAACACATGATTCAGAGATGCGTGCATTTTTTTAATTTTTTTTTTCCCCTGTAAAAATTCACGTTTGACCCTCCCGCATGCTGATCCTTTCTATTGGTCAGTGAGGTTACCTGTCAAATTAAACAGCCAGTAGGGAAGATGGGATATAGGCGGTGGCAAGTTTATTTATTACAAAATCCAGATTTGCACATAACTTGAGCTCCTTAGATCTCTGGAATTACTGATCATTTTAGGGCTGCAACTAATGATTATTTTCATAATTTGATTAATTGGCCGATTTTATGTTTTCAAATAATCTGATAAAAAAAATCAAATACTATCCTTTTAAAAAAAATATACACAAATGTAGTGTTACAAACACAAAGTTTACTTCAGAATTACACTGCATGCACAATTTTTTTGCAGTCACACTACCCTGGAATCGCCGGGTAAATACCTCTGTAGCATTACTACTGAGATAAGTATCAGGTCACCCATTACTGCCCCCTTGCTGCAGAGGAAGGAGGGAATTCACCCTGGAAGTACCTGGTAATAGCGAAGCTGCTTTTCAAACTTTTTTTTTTTTTTTTCCTCCCCCTTTTTAGATGCATGTTTAATTTAGGCAGGGGTCTCTTTAGACTGCACAGGTCCATAGCCATAATTCCATAGCTGGCACACAGCAGGATGGGGCTTGTGGTAACATGCTTATAGGTGCCTCCTCAAGTGGTTGCTGACATGCATATGAAATCATATTTGTGTAAAGAAATATTGTATGCTGAAAGCACATCATAGTTTTTGTATCCTTCTCTGCTTTCTACTAGGCCTGTCCAAAAGCAATCGAAACTGTCTTCAGCACCAAATTCCACATCATTGGGGCAGTTGGAATTGGAATTGCTGCCATCATGGTGAGTATTAAAGTTAACCCCGCTTTAAAAAAGAAAAATGGAACATTGTAATCGTATAATCCAGGCATCTCAGCTTTGTGAAGTGACTGAAGAGTAGTAAAACATTACCGGTGTTATGTCCTGGGGTAATGCACCTGACATTGCCCTCTTCATTGAAGCTCAGCCTTACCCTGCGCCAAAATGATAACACAACCAACAGGGTTATTCACTAAAGGGTGAAGAGTTTGGAGAAGTCAGAAGAAGTGAACAATCTAGGACAACATAGCTGATTTGGAAACATTCTCCAATTCAGCTCAATTTCCAGTTCAGCTATGTTGTCCTAGATTGTTCACTTCTCCTGCCTTCTCCCAAACTCTTCACCCTTTTGTAAATAACCCTGTAAGTCTTTGTCTTGGGAGGCATCAGAGACGGTGAGAGAAGTGGAAACAAGGAAGTCTTGCCGAAACATGCTTGGTGTACGCATAATACAAGTCCACCCTTTTGAGAGCCACCAGCTAACATTTTGCACCACTGATGGCCCATATTCCCAGATACCCCTGCTGACAATCTGGAACCAGAGTCCTACCTGATCATGTGAACACTGTCGGCTATGACAAAGTGATCAGGAAACAAATAGTAGAGAACGAAGCGCGATGACTCAGGTGGGATTTGATGTGGGTGTGGTATTTAGCTCACCAAGAAGTGAGTTAAATGCCACACACCCCCTGTCGAATCCCACCTAAGTCATTGCGCTTCGTTCTCTACTTTTTGTTCCCTCAGCACCCACGTCGGGACACCCCGGTCCGGATTTAACAGAAGCCGCACACCAGCACACGACACCAAACTTCCCCCGAAAAGCGTTTAAAACATTGGACTTTCTCCTATAACTTTTCACATGACAAAGGGATCACATGCATGTTTGCGTCATTGACAAAATAAACCTTTAGCCTGCAGATGCAACTGTAGCCTAAAGATGGCAGTGCTCATGCATTTAATACTGTAGTTGTCGAATACAATTACAATATTTAAAATATTTTTGCACATTGTCAGGCTACAAAAAAATATTACTATAGTTGTACCTAAAAAGCCTTGCATTTCCATTAAAAAAAAATATAAAAACTATTGAGGTTAATATGAATTCACTAGTGTTAAGTTATTCACTCTCAAAGACTATGGTTTCATTAGCTTTTGTAAGAGCTTAGAAACACATTCTGGTTAATTACATTAGAAGGCTGGCAACCTTTGGCCTGAATGTAATAACACTAGCATGTAGCAATGGGTTTCCCTAATTGACTGTAGCAGCTTGTAGTTCTACAGTACGGGATACAGTGATGAGATATAAAAGATGATGGTAAACGTTTAATTTCCTTTTTTGTTTTTGCAGATTTTTGGAATGGTCTTTAGCATGGTCCTTTGTTGCTCAATCCGAAACAACAGGGAGATGGTATAATATTGGACTCAATCGGTCCATGAAGGGTGGGGCACGGAATCGATGTCAAAAAAAACAATTTTAGTGTTCAAACAGCCTTTTCTAAAAATAAAGTTGTGCTATATTTTCTGTATTTTTGTTTTATTTTTTAATGCCAACCTGTTTTTTTTAAAGGTCGCTCTCTATGTTTTGAAATGTTAAACCAATGATGCAAGGTACTCGATTTTGTTGATTGGTTAAATTCTTATATATATATATATATTGTAATATTTATAAATGGTAATACTATGAAGGGCTTTGTTCAGTTTATTCCGTTTAGACTTGTCTTTCGCTTTCTTAAAATATTAATCGAAGTATAACTTAAGTTGAACATAATTTGGTACTTAATTAAAAAATACACCCAAATGAATCATGGCCTTCGTCTATATTTTTAGTGCTCGGTCAATCTAAATGCTTTTTGGTTTTTGTTTTTATTTTCCTTTTTGATTGATGAACAGGCTTTTTCAAGGTAAGTTAACATGTTAATTTACATGTTAAATGTGGTTTGCCTTTTTTTAATGATAAATGCAGATGGGAAGACTATTACTCCTTTACAAAGCTAGACGATGCTGGAGGGGTTACGAGGTAAGGAGCATTGTATCTATCATTGGATGAGCGTTTCTATCCTTTCCCCAAGCTACTGCAGAGAGAGCAATGCGCTGTCAGCCTAACAGGCTGTCGGTAGAGCTAGGCCTAACTCTTCACTGTCAACCATGCCAATATCCAAGCAGTTACATCCAAGCAGTTACAGCCAGGGGTGTATCTACTGCAAGGCAAACTAGGCATTTGCCTAGGGCGCTTTCCAGGCAGGCGCCAAAAAATGCTGCCCCCAAACCAGTTAGGTGAGAGAAAATAAATAAATTATATTATAAATTATTCATAAATTACTGCCAGTACTCCTGGACCTGGTGCTTCTTTGACTGGGGGACCAACGTGTCCACCTATGCCGCCTACTCCTACATGCTGCAGCTCCTTCCTCTTCCTGGTGAATGTGCTGTGCAATGTATTGGTGTGTGTGACCTTCGTCCAGATGCACTGGCAGTTCGGACTTCCATGGGAAACCGGCACCCAAATTTCTGACTTCAGGAGGGGAGGAGCTTCCGCAGGATCCCCAGAGGTGAGATCCAGATGGTCGTCGTGCTCATCGGCACCTCCGTGGTGGTGAGATCGAGGAAGTGCAGCCTATAAACTCCATTCAGGGTTATGTCTCTAGAGCGGGGCGAGCTACAGAGCCCAGCGGCCAAGGCTAAAGATGGGTAACTGCAGAATTAGAGGGCCCAGCATATTAAGGCAGAAGATCGGTGTTGCAGCTGCAGAACTAGGGAGCCCATCAAACCAGGAACAGAGAAGGTGGCTATTGCAAAGGTAGAACTAGAGCGTCCCGCTACATAGCACAACCTGTCAGAATCTAGATACACCGTGCGCAGGTTAGACAGGTTATGCAAAATGTCTTAAACAGGAAGGGGTGGGACTAATTTAGATTAAGGATGGGGGGGGGTGCTCGGGTTTAGTCTTGCCTAGGGCAGCACAAAACCAAGATACACCACTGGTTACAGCAGCAGCAAGGGTGACAAAGCTGCAGTCATTTCATTGCAGAAAGTAGGGGGTTGTCACCCCATCAAAATATGCCTTGCCCATCAAATAGTTCTACTGGCAGGATCAATGGGTATTTACAAAATGTTCCAGGGGGTACTTAGAAAAAACAAAGCCTGGTTCTAAAATTTATGGGCAGACATCAAATGTGATTTTTATAAACGGACCAAAGTTCTGTCACCAGCTTGCCAATTGCAGAGTAATGCAGAAAACTATTATTTTAAAGAAACTCTGGGGAAAGGGTTAAGTGCTTGTGTCTAGGGATGAAAAATAACAGTTATACTCATCTGATCCTCTGAGCCAGCTGGATCTTAGACCGGTCCCTGGAACCTCTCCCCTGCCTACTGAAGCAGTCTAAGGTCCTGTAAATCATCATGTCCTATACACAGTGTATAGAATGTGGGGACACCAGGGGATATGCCATTGCTGCAGTTTAGGAGGCTGGAGGGAGCGCTGTCGGCAACTGGCCAGCTGAGCAAAATTAGCAGTTAACCCTTGCAATGTGGGGGTAGCCCCACTGCAAGGGTTAATCATTTTCCATGGAATTCTGCTTTTAAATGCTTACTTGCTGTGTTTTTTTTTTGGGGGGGGGGGGGGTCCTTTTTTTTAATTTTTTTTTTATTTTTATAAATTTTGTATTGAATTGCAATGTGCCTTTTTGAATGTTCTACAAAATTGGACTACTCCAAGAGCCGTTGCCTTAGCACAGCCGCTGCTTTATTGCATGCCATAGCCTTCTGCTTTCCTGGGAGTGTCTATTTGCACTGGACCAGCTCCTCCACCCCTCCCTATACCTCTCTACATAATCTTTTATATATCTGCCAGGGGAAGAGGAATACTATAGAACAGGCGTAGGCAAACTCCAGCTGTAATGAAACTACAAATCCCACCATGCATCTACCACTTGGAGGCATGCCTGTGTCTGTCAGTCTTGCAGTGCCTTATGGGATTTGTAGTTGCACCACAGCTAGAGGGCCGGAGTTTGCCTACCTCTGCTATAGTGTCACCTGAATGACGGCTTGAAGTCCGCTGGGCCTCCTGACATTTATTTAATTCAATAATTGTTAGTTTCAACAATACAACCTAACAGGATAATAAAATAAAATAATCCAGTTCAGGGGCAATACAAGGTATACAAAATTGAAGCTTATAGCCCAAGGGGCATAATGATGAACGTTTATGGCAGATGGTCTGTTAATACAAAGAAATTTAAAAAAAAAGCCCAAGAAACGTAATTGGCCTGTGTTGTGTCTGCACTCGCGATAAAGACAAGTAATTTCTCATGTAAGGGAAAAGAGTGCAATCAGAATAATCAAATTGTAGACGGTCCTCCTGACATTTAAATCAAAGATGGTGACGCCTAGCAGCAGTCTCAGGACTATTTGATGTCTACAAGGGGAGGCTTTTCAAAGGCAATAACATGCAAAAATATGCTAAATGTGGAATGAAGATATTTTTGTTGTTGATATTCATGGTCTGGTGACCATTCACCGTTATTTTTAAGAGTTTGTACTATTTGGGATGTTCAGTGAAATAAACCGTAACAAATATAACTGTGTTTACTGGTCTGTGTTGCGTTTTTTTTTTTCTTCTTCTTTTTTTTTTTTTTTTTTTTTTTTTTTTTTTTAAGCCACAGATACTGTTTAACATCTGTGTGTATTAAAAACTTTGAAGTGAAAAAGTGATTGAACTGTGTGAACAATCTACTCTTAATTTTCCATTGCATTCTGGGCATTATAATTTTTATTTTTTTAATAACTCGCCCACTTTTTTTTTTTTATATCTCTTTGGTGCGCCGCATAATAGTGGGAAAGTAGCAGAGCTGTAGAGAAGTGCAATTAAGTATGCACCACCTGCATAAAGCTGATCTTCTAAATACACCACTGAAATACATATAGGGGAGCTGTTTGCCCATCTGAGGATTTGTATTTCCGTACAATCCAGTTCTTAGATTGACATAGCTCTGGCACACAGGATAGCCCTATATCACATGCAGGTCTAGTCCTTCACCAGCCTGTAAAAAGACAGTGAAAGGAGAAGCAGCAGACAAGCTTATCTGTTACTCTGCTCTCTCCTATCAATATGCCCCTTGTTAGCTCATGTACACTGTCTTGCGCTGTTTCAGGGATAGTGCGATCTATATCCAAGTACCTTCAGTTTTATAGCTTTGCCTACTTCACCAGGAGTACAATGTTCTGTATGGGTACTACCACATTTCAGGACATTGTCATCTCTTCCAGAGAACCTGCGTCTCTTGGATATCATTTGAGTTTGCATAGCTTTTTGCATATACAAATATCATGCCACTTACTAAAGGGCTTTTGTGTTACAGCCCCCACTACAGCTCACCTCTGCACCTCCCGTCACAGCTCATCACTTCCCTGCTCCCACTACAGCTCACCTTGACACCCCCACCTGCAGCTCATCACTTCACTACACCAGCTTGCCTCCGCTGCCCCATCCACAGCTCATCTCTTCCTTGCTCCCACTTAAGCTTGCCTCTGCACCCCTATCCACAGCTCACCATTTAACTGCCCCCACTGCAGCTTATATGTGCATCCCACAGCTTACCTCTGCACTCCCATCCACAGCTCTCCTCTTTCATACCTTGTCTTTGCACTCCCCACCCTGTCCAGGCTCACTGGTATTCCACAGTTTATCTCTGCAGCCCCTGCACCATTCACTCTCCTCAGCTGTCTCCTTACTTCTAGCAGCCTGACCAGCTCTTTTAACACCTGCAGCGCACAGTGTCAGACTTTTCCACCTGTGTCAATGCCGCTGCCCTCCCCTGCCAGTGAGATCTGCTTTGCACATCCATCATTACTGCCCTAATCCAGCCAACAGCAGCAGCAGATAAACATGGTGGGCAGCAGCGGCCTTGGCACTAGGAAAGTAAGGGTGGGCACTTACAAATGGTGACTGATGCTAGTGGAGCCTGTGCTGGTCAACTATGACACTAATTTCCAGAAGTGCAGGTATGCAGTATCTGTGCATTCTGGCACAAATGCCCGCTAGAGTATAAGAAAAAAGGCATTTAAACAGAAGTCTTGCAGCTAAAATTGAGCGACTTCCAGGGATGGGATGGTTGGAAAATGCCTTTGAAACATTTTAATTTTTTTTTCCCCTCCAACATCCAACTCTTCAGAGGAATGGAAACGATGACTAAATGTTAGGAGTAACCTACAAAACAGATTGGAAACACATGTCCCCTGCTTCCCTCCAGGAAGCCTCTTAAGCAGTACATGTCGATGGTGGAGACGCACCTGTTTCTGGTTAAAATGTTAAAGTCCACAAATGTTATAAGAAATGCTTGTGTTGTCTTTGTTTTCCAGATTAATACATTACTGCTTTCCAATTTATGTATTAAAAGGGCATAGTTTGTAAATGAAATGCTGATGTAGGTGATAGAAAAATCCAGTTTACTGTGTCTGCATTTGTGCTTTA